CCCAAAGGCCCCAAGCGGTTGCTAGGAGTGCCCCGATAAGCCCCCACGAGCCCCCCGAGACGCCCACTGGAGGCACCCATGAAGGCCAAGGGTTCCAAGAGTTACGTCGGGAGGGAGGGGGGGCCTGGCCACCCGTAAAAAACATTACATTTCAACACTTTTAAGGTGCGCAGGGGCTTGGCGGTAGAGCATTTTGGGGGGCAGAGGCCACCTCAAAGAGGGGTCCAAAAAAGGTCCCAGGAGGCAGCATGATGGCTTAAGCCTCCGAGACTGCCCAAGACAGTTACAAGATAGCGCGAGAGAGCCGGAGATTGCCATCACGAGGCCTCAGGATAATTCTAAAATACCTCAAAGATTGTCTCTTAAGAGCCTCTTGGGGCCTCCTGGGGCCTCTTGGGGCCGAGAGCTCAGCATGTCGGTTCGTGCTCCCCCTCAGGGGCCCCTCTTGGAGCGGTCTTGGGGTCTCTCACCTCCTCCTCCCCCTGCTCCTCCTCTTCCTTCCTCCTCCTCCTCCTCTTCCTCCTCCTCCTGCTCCTCCCGGGCGCAACTGGGCGCAGCTACGTGCGCCAGTTACGTGGCGTACCGGCAGAGCATTGCCGCACCAGGGCTCCTCAGTCATTTTGGCTCAAGCCATATCGGAGTCGGCGAAGTGGCCCTTCCCATCGAGGCCGCACTGCAGCAGCACAGCATGGCGGGCAAGCCGCCGCAGTTTAAGCAGGAAATGGAGGCCGCTTGGTCATATATCGACGAGCACTTTGACCCGGAGCTGATATTCGGTCATGACGGGTACCAGTTTGTCCTTTCACACGCGATTCGGTCATCCACTCACCCACTGGTCACCGGTGTGACGCTGCTCGCGGCCATGGCGCCGCTGACCAACGGCGGCTCGATCCAGGCGTTCCCAGGATGTCCCACTCAACTCAACGTGGTGGCGCTTCTCTCTAATTATCCGCAGACCCGTAAATCGCAGATAACGAAACTGATCAAGGAAATCGGAGACTTCCTGGACGCGAAGGTGCTCCAGAAGCTCACTACCAAAGTCGGGGAGGAGCTGGAGAGGCGCGGTAGCCCCGTGGATGCAGGCGCGCCCGACGGCCAAGCCAGAGCAGCACCGCGCGTGGCAAGCGCAGTTCTGGCTTCCTTCACACCGGCTAAGTTCTTCGAGAAGATGAGCGGTGACGCGCAGCAGCTGGACAACGCCGAGGATATCGGAGTCCCATCCCTTCGCGGGAGCGTCCACCTTGGACGTCTCGCGAATACGGACGAGGTCTACGCGCCCTTCAGCGCCTTCGGCCTCCTGCACGACGACTCGCATCGCTCCTCCTCCGCCTCGAAGGCCGTCGTGCCGTCTCCGTTGCTTGTGCAGCTCTCATGAGGACTAGTTTGGAGCACTTCGCGGGGGTGTCATAGGCTCCTGCTGTGAAGTGTTGATGGTCCACTGAGGCCCTTTTGCGCCGTCTTGAGCTGTGTTGACGCCGTCGTGTCGTCCCCGTTGCTTGTGCAGCTCTCCTGAGGACTCGTTTGGAGCACTTCGTGGGGGTGTCATAGGCTCCTGTTGTGAAGTGTTGTGGGTCCACTGAGGCCCTCTTGCGCCGTCTTGAGCTGTGTTGAGGCCGTCGTGCCGTCTCCGTTGCTTGTGCAGCTCTCGTGAGGTCTAGTTTGGAGCACTCCGTGGGGGTGTCATAGGCTCCTGTTGTGAAGTGTTGAGGGTCCACTGAGGCCCTCTTGCGCCGTCTTGAGCTGTGTTGAGGTCGTCGTGTCGTCTCCGTTTCTTGTGCAGCTCTCAGGAGGACTAGTTTGCAGCACTTCGTGGGGGTGCCATAGGCTCGTGTTGTGAAGTGTTGTGGGTCCACTGAGGCCCTTTTGCGCCGTCTTGAGCTGTGTTGAGGCCGTCGTGTCGTCCCCGTTGCTTGTGCAGCTCTCATGAGGGCTCGTTTGGAGCACTTCGTGGGGGTGTCATAGGCTCGTGCTGTGAAGTGTTGGTGGTCCACTGAGGCCCTCTTGCGCCGTCTTGAGCTGTGTTGAGGCCGTCGTGTCGTCTCCGTTGCTTGTGCAGCTCTCATGAGGACTAGTTTGGAGCACTTCGTGGGGGTGTCACAGGCTCCTGCTGTGAAGTGTTGAGGGTCCACTGAGGCCCTTTTGCGCCGTCTTGAGCTGTGTTGAGGCCGTCGTGTCGTGTCTGTATTCTTTGCAGCTCGCATGAGCATTAGTTAGGAGCACTCCGTGCGGGTGTCATAGGCTCCTGTTGTGAAGTGTTGTGGGTCCATTGAGGCCCTCTTGCGTTGTCTTGAGCTGTGTTGAGGCCGTCGTGTCGTCTCCGTTTCTTGTGCAGCTGTCATGGGGATCAGTTTGGAGTTCTTCGTGGGGGTGTCATAGGCTCCTGTTGTGAAGTGTTGGGGGTCCACTGAGGCCCCCTTGCGCCGTCTTGAGCTGTGTTGAGGCCGTCGTGTCGCCCCCGTTGCTTGTGCAGCTCTCATGAGGACTAGTTTGGAGCACTCCGTGCGGGTGTCATAGGCTCCTGTTGTGAAGTGTTGTGGGTCCACTGAGATCCTCTTGCGCCGTCTTGAGCTGTGTTGAGGCCGTCGTGTCGTCTCCGTTTCTTCTGCAGCTCTCATGGGGGCTAATTTGGAGCACTTCGTAGGGTGTGTTATAGGCTCGTGTTGTGAAGTGTTGTGGGTCCATTGTGGCCCTCTTGCGCCGTCTTGAGCTGTGTTGAGGCCGTCGTGTCGTCTTCGTATCCTGTGCAGCTGTCATGGTGGCTATTTTGGAGCACTTCGTGGGGGTGTCATAGGCTCCTGTTGTGAAGTGTTGTGGGTCCACTGGGGCCCTCTTGCACCGTCTTGGGCTGTGTTGAGGCCGTCGTGTCGTCTCCGTTTCTTGTGCAGCTCTCATAAGGGTTCGTTTGGAGCATTTCGTGATGGTGTCATAGGCTACTGTTGTGAAGCGTTGTGGGTCCATTGAGGCCCTCTTGAGCTGTGTTGAGGCCGTCGTGCCGTCTCCGTTGCTTGTGCAGCTCTCATGAGCATTCGTTAGGAGCACTTCGTGGGGGTGTCATAGGCTCCTGTTGTGAAGTGTTGCTGGTCCATCGTGGCCCTCTTGCGCCGTCTTGAGCTGTGTTGAGGCCGTCGTGTCGTCCCCGTTTCTTGTACACCTTTCATGAGGACTCGTTTGGAGCATTTCGTGGGGGTGTCATAGGCTCCTGTTGTGAATGTTGAGGGTCCATTGAGGCCCCCTTGCGCCGTCTTGAGCTGTGTTGAGGCCGTCGTGTCGTCTCCGTTTCTTGTGCAGCTGTCGTGAGGGCTAGTTTGGAGCACTTCGTGGGGGTGTCATAGGCTCCTGTTGTGAAGTGTTGGGGGTCCACTGAGGCCCTCCTGCGCCGTCTTGAGCTGTGTTGAGGCCGTCGTGTCGTCTCCGTTTTTTGTGCAGCGCTCATGAGGACTAGTTTGGAGCACTTCGTGGGGGTGCCATAGGCTCCTGTTGTGAAGTGTTGTGGGTCCACTGAAGCCCTCTTGCGCCGTCATGAGCTGTGTTGAGGCCGTCGTGTCGTCTCCGTTTCTTGTGCAGCTCTCATAAGGGCTAGTTTGGAGCACTTCGTGGGGGTGCCATAGGCTTCTGTTTCGAAGTGTTAAGGGTCCACAGACCCTCTTGCGCTGTCTTGAGTTGTGTTGAGGCCGTCGTGTCGTCTCCCATATTTGCGCAGGTCTCATGGGGACTAGTTTGGAGCGCTTCGTGGTGGTGTCATAGGCTCCACTTGTGAAGCGTTGAGGGTCCAATGGGGCCGTCTTGCGCCGTCTTGAGCTGTGTTGAGCCCGTCGTGTCGCCTCCGTTTCTTGTGCAGCTCTCATGAGGACTAGCTTGGAGCACTTCGTGGGGGCGTCATAGGCTCCTGTTATGAAGTGTTGAGGGTCCACTGAGGCCCTCTTGCGCCGTCTTGAGCTGTGTTGGGGCCGTCGTGCCGTCTCCGTTTTTTGTGCAGCCTTCATGAGGGCTCGTTTGGAGCACTTCGTGGGGGTGTCACAGGCTCCTGTTGTGAAGTGCTGTGGGTCCACTGAGGCCTTCTTGCGCCGTCTTGAGCTGTGTTGAGGCCGACGTGTCGTCTCCGTTGCTTGTGCAGCTTTCATGAGGACTAGTTTGGAGCATCTCGTGGGGGTGTCATAGGCTCCTGTTGTGAAGTGTTGAGGGTCCATTGAGGCCCTCTTGCGCCGTCTTGAGCTGTGTTGAGGCCGTCGTGTCGTCTCCGTTTCTTGTGCAGCTCTCATGGGGGCTAGTTTGGAGCAGTTTGTGGGGGTGTCATAAGCTCCTGTTGTGAAGTGTTGAAGGACCACTAAGGCCCTCTTGCGCTGACTTGAGCTGTGTTGAGGCCGTCGAGTCGTCTCCGTTTCTTGTGCAGCTCTCATGAGGGCTAGTTTGGAGCACTTCGTGGGGGTGTCATAGGCTCCTGTTGTGAAGTATCGAGGGTCCACTGAGGCCCTCTTGCGCCGTCTTGAGCTGTGTTGAGGCCGTCGTGGGGCTGTCTTGGGGCCTGATTGGACCGTCTAGGGGCCCTCCTCGGCCTTCTTGGGTCATTCTGGAGGCCTTCGTTGGGGCCGTCCTGGCCAAGCTGGAGGCCTTCTTGGGACTCTCAGTGGGCCCAGCGGGTCCTCGACAAAAGGGGACCAATCGTCGATCGCAGAACGCGGAAAGCGAAAGACATGAACACCGTGTTGTAAGCTGTGTGCTTGGCCTCGCTGCTGGCCTCCCGGAGAGCGTCTTGGGGGTGCGGTCGGGATCGTTGGAGGTCTCTTGAGACCTCTTGGACGAGTCTTAGGGACTCTTGGGTGCGTCATGAGCCAATGTTGACCATCATGGCGGCCTTGTTGGCCTTGCTGAGATGTCTTGGCAGCCCTGGAGAGCTTTCGAGAGTATCAGGGAGGCGTCGGGTCGCTCCAGACGGCCTTGGGAGCACGCTTCAGTTTGCCCTGGAGAGGGGGGAGGGGGCTGGGCGCCTTTCTCGGGGCTACGGGATCCCTGCTGGGCAGCACTGGTCATTCACAACGGCTCAACGTGTCAGGGAGCACGGTGGCGGATCTTGGTTTGATGGGTCGTGAGGCCTCATGCGCCATCCTCCAAGTAAGCGTCAGGTCACGAGCTCAAGAAGCATGTGCTGTCAGGCCACGTCTTGCACGAATTCGGCCTGAGGCAGCAGTGCTGAGAACTCTTGCGCGAGTGCTGGTCTGAAGATCATCATCCCATGTTAGAGATGCGCGGCACGCTGATACATTCCATGTTTATTATGTAATTGGCGTTTCAATTGGTGTAGAAGGATCGTTTGGTGTGCAAGCCCTTGGTGATTGATTTATATCGTGGGTGAGCCGGTCTCCTACGATTGGATAGTCTGTTTACCTACGAGGACGCCGAATGTCTAGCGATGTTCAGACGCGATCCAGGCGCAGTCTCTTAGGATGCTGCTTGCAAGAGTTTCGAGGATAAGCCCAGAGCATTGGCCAATCGCGCCCTCTGAAAACGATAACCGGTCCTAGTCTCAAGTCGGGACGCGTTCCCAAGGAGGAATTGTGTTGTGATGGTCTCTTAGTACCCACCTCTTCCCTCCTCTTCCCCTTCC